GACGGAGCTGCCGGCAATAACTCCCCGGGTCCTCTCCTGCCTCCCTCCCTGCATGTGGGTTGGTGGGGAGGGAGGCTGAGAGCAGATCCGGCGCTCGGATAGGTCCGGCTCTGCATGAGCCGACAGGGGACATCCTGAGATCTCCCCTGCCGGTCTCCCTCCATAGGCGTGCCACTGGGATTAGGGTGTGCCAGGAACACCCGGCACACCCCATGCGCACGCCTATGACACACACTCTGCATTATATATACACACACACACTGCATTCATTATATACACAAAATAAATATTCAATTAATGTAATTTTTTGGGGATCTAATTTTATTTAGAAATTTACCAGTAGCTGCTGCATTTCCCACCCTAGTCTTATACTCGAGTCAATAAGTTTTCCCAGTTTTTTTGGGTAAAATTAGGGGTCTCGACTTATATTTGGGTCGACTTATACTCGAGTATATACGGGTATGTGACAAAGCCAATAAAACTCTGCACTGCTTTGGTGTCACCAGGGCGTGGCATGTCTACAATGACTCTAATCTTATCTGGGCATTACCTCAGCATTACCTGCCAGCAGCGATCCAATAATGCTACTAGCTTCTCATCATGGTCATGCTCAGCTTCCTCATCTGTATTACCACAGCCAATTATAAGAATGTCATCTGCTATTGGTTCAATACCGTGGAGCCCACTTAACAGTTCATGTTGCTTTCGCTGATATACTTCTGTGGCTACAGAGACTCCAAACAGCAGCTTGAGCCATCTCTTTCGGCCCCAGGGAGTCCAAAAGTGGTAGCTACTCTTTTCATCCAGTTTGCACTGTAGAAAGGCATCTCTTGCATCAACAAGTGTAAAAACACGTGCTTTAGGCAGTTTGTGCAAAACATCACAAGTGTTGGCATTATGTAGTGTGACCTTCTCAGGTCCATGTTCAGAAACTTTGGATCAATGCAAATTCTAATCTTTTCAGGCTTTCTAATAACTACCATGTTGCTTATCCAGTCAGTTGGCTCTGATACTGATATAAGATGTCCGTCAGCTTCATACTTAACCAGTTGTGCTTTTACTTGTGGCTTAATGGCTATAGGCACATTGCGTGGGACACATTGTACTGGTGGAATGGTAGGATCCAGTTCAAAATGAACCACTCCTGGAACAGATACTACTGGGCTAGTAAACACATCATTATAGACATTGAGGATTTGCAGTTTTGTCAGTGGCCTAGTCAAGGGCTTTGCAAGCTGATTATCAACATTGTGCAGCTCCGCAGGAATTGTGAATTGCATCAGTCCCAGGTGCTCACATGTTGAACCAGACAATAGCGGTTTCTAATTGGCTTCAACAATCTCAGATTCAAGTTTATGTATATTTTTACAAATGCTCAGGGGAGGGCTGGCAGCCTCAGACCTGGGGGGCAAATCCAGTCAAGTGGCCCATTGCACCCCCGAACCAGCTCACCATCCATGCCCACCTTTTCCTGGTTTTATAACGGATATTGATGTTATGCTAATCAGTAGCTCTTTGCCATACCCACTCCTTTGTGGCTCCGAATTTCAATGTTGTTAGAGAGCAGGCGGAGAATCTCTGAGCCTGTGCTCTGACTCACTAACTAACCACAAGGGAGAGGATATGATCTAAGGCACCTACTGCTGCTGTGCACCAGTAGACCACTAAGGAATCATTTAAATTAAAGGGACACTCCAGTGCCAGGAAAACAAATTATTTTCCTGGCACAGCAGGTCCCCTCTCCCTCCCACTCCCCATCCCATGTTGCTGAAGGGGTTAGAACCCCTTCAGTGACATACCTGAGACCTCCGCCCACGCTCCTCCCCCGTTGACGTCATCCGGCGGGGGAGACCGATTGCGCATGCGTGGCCGCCGGCGGGGGAGACCTAATGCACATGCTGCGCATGCGCATTAGATCTCTCCATAGGAAAGCAATGAAAATGCTTTCAATGCTTTCCTATGGGGGTTTTAGCGACACTGGAGGTCCTCACTGGAGGACGTCCAGCAACGCTATAGCACAGAAAACCTGTGCTATAAACCACGAAGTGCCCTTTAGTAGCTAGACAGCCACTAGAGGAGGAGTTAACCTTGCAATGTAATTATTGCAGTTTATGAAAACTGCAATATTTACAGTTGCAGGGTTAAGGGTAGTGGGAGTTGGCACCCAGACCACTCCAATGGGCAGAAGTGGTCTGGGTGCCTGGAGTGTCCCTTTAATGTCCTGGTGTCCCAAACTTGTGAGCTGTGTTGGCCACCGGGCGCCTCTGTTGTCATGGCACCCTACGTGACCCCACAGCTTACACACCTCAAAGGCTGGCTCTGCTGACAGACACATTGGCACTTACTCTAAATAGCACACACACACACAAACCCTGAGAGACAAACACTCACTGACAGACAGACACACACGCGTACACTTCCAGACAGACAGATACACACACTCACTTCCAGACACACGCACACACACACACACACACACACACACTCACTTCCAGACACACACACACTTCCCCACACACATGTACACTTCCAGACAGACAGATACACACACTTACTGACAGACACACACTCACTTCCAGACACATGCACACACACACACTGACTTCCAGACACACACACACACACTTCCAGACACACACCCTCACTCACTCACTTCCAGACACACACTCACTTCCAGACACTTGCACACACACACTCACTTCCAGACACACACTCACACTTCCAGACACACACACACTTCCAGACACACACACACACCCTCACTCACTTCCAGACACACACCCACACTCACTTCCAGACACACACCCTCACTCACTTCCAGACACACACACACACACACACACACACTTCCAGACGCACACCCTCACTCACTTCCAGACACACACACATCCTCACTCACTTCCAGACACACACTCACTTTCAGACACATGCACACACACACACACACACACACTCACTTCCAGACACACACACACACCCTGTGACAGACCCATCCGTATGGACTAAAAGTACTGTGTTCGTCTGTTTTGCCGTTTGCATGAATTTCCCTATTCGTATGCATTGTTTAAGGGAATGTATTTCTTTTGTCGAACGGAACTACCGAACGGACGGCCACCCAGAAGAGAAATGTGCTGCTGGTTAACCTATTGATCCCAATTAGAACGTTGTGGTTAACCACAGACACTTCTCAATTAAAACCGAATACTGGGTGGTCGTCGTTCGTATGTCGACCACGAGGCGGCGGCCATTTTGACTATGCAAAAGCCCAGCGGTGTTCGACGATTATTTAATGGAACTCAAAACGGACACTTTTTCAACCGAACACCGCTGAAGCCGTCGACCTCCCCTTCTCAATCGACAAAAGCATACGAATACCGGCCGTTCGGGAGATTTAACAACACAAATGGACTTAACCCAGATAGCCTTCCCATGGAGTCAATCGCATACCGAAGAGCTGTAATAGACTTTGACTCCATGGCGATTGAACTATGCGTATGGGATCTGAGCGCTATTCGCCAATAATATGCACTCAGATCCAGGCTATCTGGGGATGTGTTATACGAATGCAATACATTCAGCAGTTATAAAGTTATGGATTTTAATGTGTTTTGTAACTTTGAGTTAAAATGGCGATGTGCCTCTGCTCGGGGAGATAATTGAATTACTTCCCAATTATCTCCCGAGCAGAGGGGAGGAAACTGTGATGCATGCTGGGAATATTATGGGGATGTATGTCCAAAACGTCCCCATGTCCTTCTGTTATTTCAGTCTCCCATTTAGTCCCCTAGGGGAGTGTCCACCAAGTGGGAGACCTGCATAAATACGGGCAGGTAGCCCACAGTAAACTCAGTTCGTGTTTTACCCTTAAAGCGGAGCTTGGTCTCGTTATTGGGGGGATTTTATTACCGGCGACTAGAGACTGCTTATTGGGATTATTTGCCGCTTGGAAACTATTGCCGATTCGTGCATTTGGAGCTCGTGAAGGGAAGGAGCCGTACAGGTACCGTTCGGGAGTTTGGAGTGTTCCCTAGCTGGCGGTTCGCATGGTTATACTGCATACGCTACCAGACCACATTATTGCGAACGGGGAGCATTCACTAAACAGCGGTTTATGCATTTACTACTGGAGGTACCGTAACACACCCTCACTCACTTCCAGACACACATACACACACACACTCCCTTCCAGACACACACCCTCACTCACTTCCAGACACACACACACACACACGTACTTTCAGACACACACACACACACCCACTTCCAGACACACACACACACACAAATTCCTTGTTGCTCCTACCTTTAGGAGTCCTCTGGGTCCTTGCCCCGGGGTCCAGTGACTTCCTACTCCCTCGCACTGTTTAGTGATGCGGGGCCGGAATGATGTCATATTCCGGCTCCCGGCATCACCAGACAGGGCACGCGAGGGAGCAGGAAGATCAGCAGAGGCAGTGCTCCCTCGCCGCCGCCTACCTCCTTCCTCATGAACAGCGGCCGGTATATTTCGGCAGAGTAGGCACCTGCCACCTGGGACAAGCAGGTGCCTACTCTGCCTTGCTACCAGGTGCACTAGGTGGCCCTGCTCCGTGCAGCAACCCCCTCCTCCTGGCGCCAGGGACTGGCCCTGCAGCGGCAGTTTTTTTTATTATTTAGGGCAGCCAGGGGGGCAATTGCCTCCCTACCCCTGGCCCAGCCCGCCCCTGCATATGCTGCACTCTGTTTGGAAAAGTCCCAATGATTCCATTAGTTCCCCTGAATATAGCTTCAGCTAGGTGCTGCTGGGCTGAGGTGGTGCCCTAGGTGCCAGTTTAATCTTGTCTTTCAAACTCATGACATCACATGTCGCACCAGAATCCAGCTGGCAGGGTTGGCACATATTATTCAGTCTGAGATTTACAAACCATTTTTTGCCCTTAGACTTTACAGCACGATCGCATTCCTTGGAGTAAATCACATCATTGCTAAGCAGGAGTGCATCCTCAGAATCAGACGTTTGTTCAATTGGGTTTAGCTTCCTGGCTTCCTTTCATCTTGACAGACATACTCCCTCCCACATGATCTACAGGTTTTCCCATATGCAGACACTGTTCTTTCTCTCTAACATGTATACTGCCACCGTACTTACATGATGTCGGCTTGCTCACAGGTGAGGTGCTTTGGTGTTGATCCTTGTGCTGGTGGTTCTTCAAGCTTATCTGTTGCTTGAAGGCTTCATGGATGCTGTCAGTCTGTTTATCCTGCTCCATAGCTCTCATATGTTTGTCAGTAAGTTCTGCAGTGCAACATTTCTCAATTGCTGCATGTAGGTTTAAATCCTGTTCCCTCAATAGACGGCGGCAGGTACTCTCCGTATTAATATCTAGAACTATTTTGTGACGAATAAGTTCATCTCTCAAGGAGCCATACTCACAGCTTGCAGCTTTTTCTCTCAGCCTTGTGACAAAGTTGTCTATTGATTCACATTCTTCTTGCTTGCAGCTGCCAAATATATATCTTTCACATATTAAATTTTTTGCAGGTCTGAAGAAAGCTTCCAATTGCATCAAGGATGGCTTTAGTGTCATTCTTTTGCTCCTCTGTCTCAACACTGGGACATTGGCTGCCTGTCCTACCGAGAGTAATAAGAACCCGCAGAACCCAATGGAATGAAGTCTCAGTCCAGCCCTTCTACCCTAGTGGGAACCTCTCTACAGCACTCCCAATAGCTGCCAAGGTCACCTGAACATCTTTTATCGCTCACTGGAATATTTGCGGATCCACTGTTTGATGAGATTTGTCTTATAGCTGCCAACATTGTATGGAGCACAAACATTTATAGAATAATTGCAAATTAGGTTAAACAACACTGTATCAGTCTGAAATAAATGGGAGCATGTGTCTTCATTTCCCCCAATTATTCCAATTTATTTTCCCCAAATTTGCAGATTTGCTACATTTTCCCATATACAACAAATGCAGCTCAATAAACCCACTCTAACAGAGATTGATGTATTTGTACTCTGTGTGTGTGTGTGTGTTTGCAGACACATAAAACCATACAATTTACACAACGCTATACAGTCTACACAACGCTATACAGTCTACACAATGGTAAATATTGTTTTCATGAGGGTGAATATTTGTAGAGGAGAAACAAAGTGGTGATATTATTGTCCCTAAAACAGTACTAGAATTGAGTAACGATTTGCAGAAACTGTTAGAGAAAGAACTAAATATGAAGTGGGAGTTTGCAACCCTGGAACAGTATTTAAAGGGACACTATAGTCACCAGAACAGCTACAGCTTATTGAATTTGTTCTGCTGAGTAGAATCATTACCTTCAGGCTTTTTGCTGTTGTTACGGTACCCTCAGCATCAAACGCACAAACCGCCGTTTAGTGAATCCTCCCCTCTCGCAATAACACAGGCTTCATGCGTATCAAGTACAATCATACGAACTGCAAGCAGGGGAACGCTGTAAACTCACGAACGGGATCCATACGGGCACTTCACTTCACGAGCTCCAAACTCACGAATCGCCAATAGTAGCCGAACGCATATATCTCCCAAGCGGCTATAATCCCATCCGGCAGTCTCTAGTCGTTGGTAATAGATCCCCCCAATAACGAGACCAAGCTACGCATTGATGGTAAAACATGAACTGGCTTTATTGTGGGCTACCTGACCGTATTTATGCAGGTCTCCCACTTGGTGGACACTCCCCTAGGGGACCGAATGGGAGACTGTAATAATAGACAGACATATGGCAGGTTAGGACCCACAGACACAGAATATTCCCAGCATGCATTAGTATTTCCTCCCCTCTGCCCTGGAGATAATTGAGAAGTAATTCAATTATCTCCAGGACAGAGGCAAATCACCATTTTAAATTCAACACAGAAAAACACATAAAAATATATAACTTTACATTTGTCGAATGTTACCCATTCGTATCATCCCCAGATAGCCTGGATCTGAGTGCATATTATTGGCGAATAGCGCTCAGATCCCATACGCATAGTTCAATCGCCATGGAGTCAAAGTCTATTACAGTCTTTCGGTATGCGATTGACTCCATGGGAAGGCTATCTGGGTTAAGTCCATTCGTGCGTTTAAAACTCCTGAACGGCCAGTGTTCGTATACTTCTGTCGATTGAGAAGGGAGGTCGGCGGCTTTGGCTGTGTTCGGTGGAAAAAGTGTCCGTTTTCAGTTCCATGAAATCAATGCCGAACACCGCTGGTCTTTCGCATGGTTTAAAATGTCCGCCGCCTCGTGGTCGACATACGAACGACGACCACCCTGTATTCGGTTTTAATTAAGAAGTGTCTGCGGTTAACCACAACGTTCTAATTGGGATCAAGAGGTTAACCAGCAGCACACTTCTCTTCTGGGTGGCTGTCCGTTCGGTAGTTTGTTCGGCAAAAAACGTCCATTATACGAACAGAGGCATACGAATGAGTAATTCCACGAAAACGGCAAAGCAGACGAACCAGCAATCCCAGGTTATACAGATGGATCTGTTACAGCTGTAAACACTTTTTTTCATAACTTCACTGGCCACTCCTTAGATGGCTGTTAGAGATCCTACCTGGGTCATAGCTGTCTAAAATGCATCCAAACATTCAGTATCTCCTCCCTCTGCATGCAGACACTGAACTTTCCTCATAGAGATTAATTCATTCAATTCATCTCTATGAGGAGATGCTGATTGGCCAGGGCTGTGTTTGAATCATGCTGGCTCTGCCCCGATCTGCCTCTTTGTCAGTCTCACCCAATTCCAAATGGGGAAGCACTGTGATTGGATCAGGCTACCACTTCTGATGATGTCAGCAGACTGCTTGTTTTTCTGAGTCAAACAGCATGCAGAGTTACAGCTTCAGGCTTGAATACAGTACGATTTTTACTATATTTATGGTGGCATGAGGGCCCCAGGGGAGCTAGAAGGTGGTTTTAACACTATAGGGTCAGGAATACATGTTTGTGTTCCTGACCCTATAGTGATCCTTTAAATAAGGGTATTACACCAAGAGTGGTACAGTTTTTAAAACTCCAACATTTAAAAGAGACAAAAGGAAATTCATAGACGATTGGGACAAGTATTTAGATCAAGTGTCTCTCGGTTTGATAGAAATGATGACAAAGACAAGAAATTAATTTAAGGGAATCAGATAAACATAGAAAGGAATTGAAGATAATGTTGGCTTTAGTGTATTTGTAATCTTAATTTTAATAATGACAGGAGGTGAGTATCTTGCATATCATTCTTTATTTATCTCCCTAACAGCAAAGAAACAAAGAACCAATCAAAACCAAACGGTGTGTATGAGATAAAGTGGACCTTGGCACTTCTTAGTGCCAGAACAGTAAATAAACAAATAAACAGTCAAATGTAACTTGTAATCTCAGAATTAGCGTCCTGTAGAACGAGGACTCCGACAATAAGACCTGAACATCAGGTGCGTCCCCCGAAGTATGTCAAACTGAAAAAGAAAAATGTTTAATAGGTTTAGTCATTGAGTACTGAGAAATGTGTAACAGGTAACCAAAATCTTAGATATCCAATTATAAAACAAAAATCATTATTCTAAATACCAACTAATACTATCAGAACATATGTAATTTAATAACCACTAGATACATAAAAACATTGTAAACTTATTAAACTATCAATCACAAAAAATACCTTTAAAAAATAACAGAAATACCAATCTCGCAGAAACCTCCACTGCATTGATCTCCAGGATTTCTCCACCAAACTCCAGACTCTCCTTTAACCCATCTCAAATCTCACTTGCCCTATCTCTGCAACCTCACTCTACAACTCCACTCTCTCCTCTCTCTCATGGCACCTCCTACATTTAAACACAGCAAGTGTTCCCAATTACAACCCTGTCCTCTTGTTGTGGTAGTTTTTCTTCTTTTAAATATAGTCTCCTCCTTTACTGTGTTGATTCCCTTTATATATTTAAATGTGTCTCGTCTTTCCTCCAAGCTATACATGTTAAGATCCTTTAACCTTTCCTGGTAAGTTTTATCCCGCAATCCATGAACCAGTTTAATAGCCCTTCTCTGAACTCTCTCTAAGGTATCAATATCCTTCTGAAGATACGGTCTCCAGTACTGTGTACAATACTCCAAGTGAGGTCTCACCAGTGTTCTGTACAATGGCATGAGCACTTCCCTCTTTCTACTGCTAATACCTCTCCCTATACAACCAAGCATTCTGCTAGCATTTCCTGCTGCTCTATTACATTGTCTGCCTACCTTTAAGTCATCAGAAATAATCACCCCTAAATCCCTTTCCTCATATGTTAAGGTTAGGACTCTATCAAATATTCTGTACTCTGCCCTTTGGTTTTTACATCCAAGATGCATTATCTTGCTCTTATCCACATTAAATGTCAGTTGCCACAATTCTGACCATTTTTCTAGTTTACCTAAATCATTTGTCATTTGGCTTATCCCTCCTGGAACATCAACCCTGTTACATATCTTAGTATCATCAGCAAAAAGACATACCTTACCATCAAGACCTTCTGCAATATCACTACTAAAAATATTAAAGAGAATGGGTCCAAGTACAGATCCCTGAGGTATCCCACTGGTGACAAGTCCAAGCTTCGAATATATTCCATTAACCACAACCCTCTGTTGCCTGTCACTCAGCCACTGCCTTACCCATTCAACAATATTTGAATCCAAACTTAAAGATTGCAGTTTATTGATAAGCCTTCTATGTGCAACAGTGTCAAAAGCCTTACTGAAATCTAGGTAAGCAATGTCTACTGCACCACCCTGATCTATAATTTTAGTTACCCAATCAAAAAAATCAATAAGATTAGTTTGGCATGATCTCCCTGAAGTAAACCCATGTTGTCTCTGATCTTGAAATTCATGAATAATGAATAACATGTCAACAGAAGGTAACGCCTTCTAGAGAAAAACAGAATGCATTAACATCAAACGCACAAACATTCAAAGCTCGATAAAAAGAAACCAAGCACAGGAGGAAGGTTAATTTCTAATTTAGGCAATTGATGCAGAGAGAGCCTGTCCTTATCCGGCCAGTCGCGTAAAAATCATAAAACTAGAGAAACGTTCCATAAATGATTATACTTTGGGGCCAGGGTTGCTGAAGATGAAGGACCCACATCAAATGGCAAACAAGAAGGTCTCTGCCAATATGGACACCCTGAACCAAGACATGGCAGCTAAGATAGCAGAATGTCCAACATTTATGGATCAGTAGGAACGTCCTGACGAAAAAAGGGTTGACAGGACATTTATAAACGTGGAGACAGAGGCTGTAAAGGGATTGAGGTCCTGTTCCATACACCAAGAGTTCCAAGCAAAGAGGTAACAAAGTTTTATTACTGGGTCCCATGAGACCTATGATAGTTCTCCAACATGCCAGGGACCCCTGAAAGAGCCCAAATCACCAGAAGAAGTCAATCAGGACAAATAGTACTCACAACAAAGGAAAACAAACCACAACAGAGAAGAGAAGCAAGATCTTTGACATGTCCTTTGGATGGAGCAGCAAAGAAAGAGGAAGTGCTTAGGTCCACTTTTGTTTTGATTGGTTCTTTGTTTCTATATGTTTTCTTTGCTGCTATGGAGCTAATAGATATAGATAAAAGATATGCAAAATATGAAGCCTCCTGTCATGTGGTAAAATGAAAGGATAAATGGACAGGAAATGAACTCCTACTCCAGAGATATCATTGGAGAATTAGATTGAATAGAGCAGGAAGTGATTAAAGTGAAAAAGAAAACATATTTCAGGGATAAAGTAGAATCTATCAGGAAACATAAGATGATTTACAAAAAGAGATACATTTAATAAATATGATAATAAGAGAAGAACAGAAGGAGATGGCCTCATCTAACACTCAAACTCAGTGAAGGACTGCATTTTTTCTCCCCACTTCCCGCCCACCCAGATTCCCCCTAAATATATAGCCCGCTCCTCCAGCTGTTTGAGATTCTCACCCAATTACCTCTTCATTCCCTTTACATTTTACCAATAGCTGCTTCTCTCTGTTAACTCTTTAGCTATCACTTCCAAATTTCCGATGCTACTTTTTGTATCAAATCCCTACGGAATCCTTTAGATTGTAAGCTCACGGGCCATCTAGCTAAGCACTTTGTATAAAAGCGCTTCAGTGGCTAGATCTCAGCTTACGGGCAGGGCACTCTCTACCTCTTTTATTTGTCTGTGTATATTGTACATTCTCCACTAATTGTACAGCGCTTTGGAATCTGCTGGTGCTTTATAAATACCAGTAATAAATAAATAAACACAAATTAAAAAGATTCTGCTGGATGGACTGTAGTTCAGTCCAGGAGAAGAGACTCTAGGAGATCCCCCAAGAGAAAGAAAGTTGGTGGAAACGGAAGCTCAACCCATAGAAGGGAGGAAGTCTGCTCCCCCACCCACTCCCCAAGAATAGAGTAGAGAATAAGAGAACAGTGAAAAATACATTATAAAAACTATCAACAGATTTAATGTTGTGTGTAGAGACAAAAGCATGGATAGCCTTTTAGATTGACAACAAATTTCCCCTAGATAAATGTGTTTCTGGCAGGATGTAGAACCATTGGGGGGTGGGGTGAGAATAATACAGGAGAGAAAACAGATTAAGCATTTAATACAGGTAGGTATTTTTTAATTTTTTTATTAATTCTTTATTTTTGCAGTGCAGGATTATATGTCCAATCTCAAGTGTGACGAGACCAATCTCGCCACATTGCATTGGAGAAGCCTGGTTACTCGTCTGCTGCCTTTGGACTATGGCCCCCTGTTAAAAGACATATTTTTTCCCTGCAGAAAAGCTTCATTCGTGCTTTTCTGCCTGGGGTTCGGTAGATTTGTTTGAATGTGTTATACCCCAGATAGGAATCCCATGGAGCCCATTTGTATAAACTGACTGTAAAGACTTTGGCTCCATGGCGATTAAACTGTATTTGTGTGGTCTGAGCGCCATTCACTTAATAATGTGCGCTCGGACCTGAGCTATCTGGGGATATGTTACATGTCTGTGTTTTATGTAATAAATGTGACTTTATGTATTTTAAAGTGTTTTGTGTCTTTTTGCAACTATGTGCTTAATGGAGTCTTGTGTCTGTCCTGGGAGATAATTGAATTACTCTCCAGGATAGAAGACTCTGAAACTGGTTTGGGTCAGAAAGCCATGCTTCATTTAGTCACAAAGGACTTTTTACTAACTTTTGAACCCCTTGTCTGATTTGTGCCATTTTTGAATATGTTGTTCCCCTGAATGGATTGATTGTGCATATGTAATTTTATGTGAATGTGATGTATGGTTTTAGAGTTATGAAAGCTGGGTAGAAAGTATGTTTTAACTGTATGTATAATTGAGTTTCCTCTCAGGATAAGGGGAGGGAATATGTGGGATGTAACTGTGATGTGATTGGTTGTTTTATACCTCCCTGTGGGCGGTCCTGTATTTGCAAGACTGTAATAAAAACTAGGCTGGGTGTGCCAGCACCTGAGTTCCTGTTTTAACCCTCAAAGTGAAGTGTCGTCTCATTATTGGGGGAAGGATTTATTGTATGCTGTTAGGAGACTGACGCCAGTATGCAAGCTGATTACTTGTCTGTTTTTCTCCTGTTCGTCTGCTAGCAGCTATTTGGGAGGTTCCAGTTCGGAGTTGGAGTGCTATTTTGTATCCAGTTCGGGAGTTTGGTGTTCTGCAGTAGCTGTGCCTGTATCTCTGGAAAGGGGGGCGATCGCCTAAACGGTTTTTACCCCTTGTGCGCAAAACGGTCCGTTACAATTGGTGGCAAGCAGCGGGATCGTTCCTACAGCCAGAAGGATAGCTACAGGAGACACCATTTCTTTGGATTTACAAGTTAAGGGCAACGCATGTCCTAGTACAGCGACCCTGACAGCACCAGGATGGAACCAGCAGTGGAGGCTGGTAGATACCTGTACAGGAATTTGACCGTATGATGTGG